ATGATCTCATAGATGTCGTCGGTTACCTGGCGGATGATACGGTAAGGACCCATGTAGCGAGACAATAACTTCTCTGATAAGCCAACTCGACGAACTGGGCACCACAGGAGAACAAGAGAACCGGGTGAGAAGTGAACGTCAGCATGCCGGCTGTCGTAGATGGCTTTCTGGGTGGCTTGCGAAGCCGAAAGTTTAGAGCGGGCGATCTGACGTGCGTGGTCGGCACGAGCAATAGCGTCGCGTGCATATTCGGTTGACGGCGTTGTAGTGGTTGGAAGTAAGGTGTCGAGTGGTAACGTCGGATCACGGGCATAAAGCAAATAAAAGGGTGAATAACCAGTGGTGTCGTGGCGCGAAGAATTGTACGCGAAGGCCACGTGAGGTAGCGCCAGGTCCCAGTCATGGTGGTCGGAGGACACATACATCGCGAGCATGTCCGTTAGGGTCCGATTTAGCCGTTCGGTAAGGCCATTTGTTTGGGGATGGTAGGAAGTGGTCAGCTTGTGGTGCGTTGAGGAAGAGCGCAGAAGATCGTCGATCACACGGGACAAAAATGCGCGGCCACGATCTGTGAGTAATTGGCGAGGAGCGCCATGCTGTAGGATGACGTCGTGGAGCAAAAAGTCCGCAACGTCAGTAGCGGTGCTGGTAGGGAGTGCTCGAGTGATGGCATACCTAGTCGCGTAGTCTATAGCAACAGCGACCCACTTGTTGTCCGATTGCGACTCGGAAGGACCGAAAAGATCTATACCAACACGGAAGAAAGGTTCGGTTGGGATGGAGATCGGTTGAAGAAGTCCAGCCGGGGGCACAGTAGGTCGCTTCCTACGTTGGCATTTATCGCAGGAGGACACGTAACGGCGAACGGACCGGGCGAGACCGCGCCAAAAGAACCGGCGACGCACGCAGTCGTACGTCCGAGATACACCCAGATGACCAGCAGTTGGTTCATTGTGAAGCTCGTGCAGCACGGTTGAACGCAAATTTTTCGGCACGACAAGAAGGAGCTCAGGGCCATCTGGCTGGAGGCTACGACGGTACAGCGTGCCATTCAGGAGGACGTACATGCGAAGTGACGTGTCGTTCGGAGCAGATTCGAGACGGTCAATAAGTTGTCGCAGAGAAGCATCACGACGTTGTTCATCACGAATCTGAAGAAACTGGGACATTGACATGACGCTGAGGCTAGGCTCGATGTCTGGTTCGTCGGGCTGATCAACAGGGTAGCGGGATAAGCAATCGGCGTCCAGATGGAGACGTCCAGACTTATAAGCAACCGAGTAGGAATACTTCTGTAGGCGTAATGCCCAACGACCAAGTCGTCCAGTGGGGTCCTTCAGAGAAGAAAGCCAACACAGCGTGTGGTGATCTGTGATGACACGGAAAGGGCGGCCATACAAGTAAGAACGGAATTTCGAAACCGCCCAAACAAGAGCGAGACATTCCCGTTCTGTTATAGAATAATTGCGTTCAGACTTAGAAAGCAGAAGGCTCGCGTACGCGATTACACGGTCGTTGCCCCGCTGAGTTTGCGCCAAAACTGCACCAATTCCGTGACCACTCGCGTCTGTTCGCACTTCTGTGGGAGCATCGGGGTCAAAATGTGCAAGAATAGGAGGTGTCGTTTGAGCGGTGATTAGCTGAGAGAAGGCGTCAGCTTGAGGAGGGTCCCAAGAAAATGGGACGTCTTGTTTGAGAAGGTCGGTGAGTGGCCGTGCGAGTGCCGCAAAGTTTTTCACGAACCGGCGAAAGTAGGAGCAGAGGCCCACAAAACTGCGAACATCATGGACAGAGCGTGGGACTGGGAAGTTTGTTACAGCGCGTACTTTCGCCGGGTCTGGCCGTACGCCGGCAGCGTCAACAAGGTGACCCAATACGGTAATCTGACGAAGACCGAAGTGGCACTTGGAGGAATTGAGCTGCAGGCCGGCCCGTCGAAATATGGATAGAATGGTCGAAAGGCGTTCAAGGTGGGTTGCAAAGGTAGGTGAGAAGATGATCACGTCGTCCAGGTAACACAAACAAGTCGACCATTTAAATCCTTGTAGGAGCGTGTCCATCAATCTCTCGAAGGTCGCTGGAGCGTTGCAGAGCCCGAACGGCATGATCTTGAATTGGTAAATGCCATCAGGGGTAACGAAGTTGGTCTTTTCTCGGTCCATGTCATCTACGGCAATTTGCCAGTAGCCAGATCGGAGGTCGAGAGATGAAAAGAAGGTGGCGCCATGGAGGCAATCAAGGGCATCGTCAATGCGTGGTAGAGGGTACACGTCTTTTTTGGTAATTTTGTTGAGGTGGCGATAATCAACGCAGAAACGCCGTGAGCCGTCTTTCTTTTTTACTAATACCACGGGAGATGCCCAAGGGCTTGTTGATGGTTCGATTACGTTTTTCGTAAGCATTTTGGCCACTTCTTTCTGAATCACTTCTCGCTCAGATGCTGACACGCGGTACGGCCGACGGTGAATGGGCGCAGAGTCACCAGTGTTGATTCGGTGAGTGACAGTTTTAGTCTGGCCCAAGGGACGATCGTCGGTGTCAAAAATGTCACTGTATGAGGCCAAAACTTGGCAGAGAGCGTTGGCCTGGTGAGGCGACAGCTCTGATCCAATCATGTTTCGAAACATACCATCGTCTGAGCTGGGTGACCGTGAGACTGCGCTTCGATCAGGAGCAGATACAGCGACAACACTGACATCGTCCTCTGTTATGGCAGTTAGCTGGGCTAGAGACATCTGGCAGGGCAACACTTGAGGGGTGAAACCAAAGTTAAGGAGCGGAAGTAACACACAGTTATCCGCTATGGTCGCGATGGTATAGGGCACAGTAACACTGCGCGTCAGGCGAACGTCAGTAATTGGCGTAACGATATAATCACCGTCAGGAACGGGAGGGGTCGATGACAAAGACACGTACGTGACGGCTCGAGGTGGCAGGCGAACAAAAGTGGTTGGGCTCAAGCGGCTGGTGGGCTTTGCAGAGTAGTCGGCAAAGATTGGTAGATCAAGGCTGAGGGTACCAGACGAACAATAAATTAAGGCCAAGTGTGCCGAAAGGAAATCAAGGCCAAGTATGAGGTCATGAGGGCAGCAGGCTAGCACGGCAAAAAGAACCACGGCGTGATGACCGACAATGCTGACACGAGCAGTGCACATTCCGATTACTGGTACAGTACCGCCATCGGCAACACGTATTGCCTGCGTCGTAGATGGCGTCATAATCTTTACTAAGCAGCAGCGTAGAGAAGCGCTCATAATAGACAGGTGCGCACCTGTGTCAATGAGGGCGGTCACAGGAACATGGTCGACTTGTACTTCAAGCAGGCTATGGTGCGTGGGAAGCGTCAGTAGAGGATTTTCGGTCGTCATTGCTATTGCAGCTTCACCTCTATAAGCTGCAATATTTAGTTTTCCTGCTGCGGTCGTCCAGAGAAGCTCGGCGAGGAAAAGCGCCGAGGTGGCGGAGAGCGGGATTGGCGACGTAGCGGCGACGGGGAGCGAGAGCTGCGGCGACCGGACAGAGGGGCGTCAGGGTAGCGGTGACCGGGCAAAGGGGCGTCAGTGGAAGGCTCGTAAGATGACGACGAGTAGAAATTGAAGGGTGTGGCGTCTGAACGTCGACGGCTCGTCGGATGCATGAGCGCCGAGGTAGAGAAAGTCTGACGTGGTTGGTTTGACCAACGGCGGCGGCAATAGCGAGAAACGTGCCCAGGCTGGTGGCAGGAAAAACAAATAGGTCGGTCGTCGGGTGTTCGCCATTCCGAAGGGTTACGGAAGGGCATTGTTGGAGGTGAACGGCGAGCGTGTCCTCGGGAGTAGGACGGGACTTCAGGGCGTGTCAGAAGACATGCTGAGGGAAGTCCGAGGTTCGCAAACTCCTGCCTCACCACAGCTTGTATTAACGCCACTGACGGCTGTTGTTGGTCAGAGGCGAGCGTTGCGAAAACGGGTGGCTGAAGAGGAGCCGGACAGGCGGCTTCGATTTCCCGACGAACAATACGTGTGACGTTGTCATACGTGGGGGACTGGCGGGCGGCTTCACACGATGAGGTCGCGGCTGTGTTGGGAAGCCGGGTGAATCGCTGAGTAATACGGCGGCTCTTGGCTTCTTCGAACCACCGGCACTCTTTAATTATGGCGTGGACGGTGGCAACGTTGTTGTAAACTAGTAGATTAAATGCGTCGTCTACTATGCCTTTCAGCACATGGGCCACTTTCTCCGACTCACTCATGTGCTCGTCAATCTGGTGGCATAGGGCGATGACGTCGTGAATGTACGCGACGTACGACTCCGTCGACGTCTGTGCACGGGCCACCAGTTGATTCCGCGCTGCGATCTTCCGCGCAATGGTGTCGCCAAAAAGGTCGCGGATCTTTTCTTTAAAGGAGTCCCAGCTCGTAATCTCCGCTTCGTGCGTCTCGAACCACACGCGCGGTGGGCCATCGAGGTAAAAAAGCACATTGGCAAGCATAAGAGTCGGGTCCCACCTATAGCTTGCGCTGACCCGTTCGTACCGGTTTATCCATTTGTCGACGTCAACGCCATCCTGATTGGAAAAGACACCGGGATCACGAGCAGGAGGTAGAACGACGTATGTAGAAGTCACGGTAGGGGCAGGTGGCGAAGACGGTGGTTGTTCAACCTGTGACATGGTTGGACCTATGATGATGCGGCCGTTGCGGAGCTTCGTGATGAAGACGGGGAAGTACCCAGCACGTCCACCACAAAGATGTTACGTAAAAATGACACGAGGTGTGTCTATTCAAAATCTATATACAAAATGATGCGTATGGCGTCGACTAATATGGAAGCAGCACGCGCAACCGACAGACCACTTCTTCGTTGTCGTCTTTTCACCGCTGATACGTCAGCTACGTAGCAATATTCAGAAAACTGAACGCTGTCAAGTAAAAGAGTAGCAGAATGAAATTATTATACGCCGTACATATAGTGAGTGTGCAGGTAACGTATGTGTGACCAACCTTTCTTTTTTCTTTCAGCAAGCCACGATGCACAATAGCGATCTTCTCCTTATTGTCGATAGCCGGATGTGCCGCTTCCACGTGGCATGTAGCCGGTAACGACACGCCCCCATTCATCGTGGTCGTCGACGAATCGGTTACGTAAGTTTTTAGATTACGATTTCTTTTTAACAATAGTCTGCGTACTTTAAACCTCCACTCGATCGTTCTCCATGGTTTCGCATTTTCCTTGTTTCACCAGAAAAGAAAGAATGGCCCATTGTAACCAGCTTTGTCCTAGCATAATGTAGTATTTCACTATTAGTACGTTGCTGGTTTTGAGAGTGTGTCCGCCCAACCTGCCCCTCCATTAGCTCACAAAAACTTACAATGAAAAATACGCCTCAGCAATACTTTGTCTTATAACGGAATAGCATTTCCGATAGTTATAAGAAAAACATTTGTAGTTATGTAATTATTCTTGTGTACTGCAGCTACTTCCACGGGTGAGCAGTCGGGAGTTTAAAAATACCAAACTATCGGCGACCTATTAGAAATGAGGAAAGCCTGATTTCAACATCAATTTGTCGGCAATACCGTAACACAAAATTTGAAAGCTATCCGTACGGAACCGAAAGACAAATCCTGTGTGCAGCTGACGTCATGTCGCAATGGCAGATATAATATTGGAGCTCTAAGTCCAATGAGAATTGACTGACATATTTTGATTTTTCGTTTAATTCAGGTGGAGCTGCTTTAGAATGTCCGAATTAGTAAAGAAAGCGAGTTGAAATTGATGTTAAAAGTAAAGAATATCTTATGGGTAAGCGGTATTATCAACCTAGCAATATCGGGCCACAAGAGGCACAAAGAGGAAGCTTTAGCAGCATTGTTTTAATAACCAAGACTTCAATGATTAGTTCATATGTCGCATCCTTCATTTTACCCAGTGACTAACGTTAGCGTGAGGCGAAGGGAGTGTAACATGCTAAAGAATAGTACGAAGCCCAGGGGTAACAGAAAATACACTGTACAAAATTCAGTGCATGGCACAATTTCAGCCATATCTTAACATTTTATCTCCTTGAACCACGTGGTTCCACTGGAAGGCATCTAGCGATCTTAGCCTGTAGAGTTTAGAACTTTTTGCATGCACACTGACCAAATTCCTACGTTTCGCAACCCTCTGATAATAAACTTTCTCGTACTTTTCTTTCTTGAAAATAAGAATAATCAGGTGGCGCGCATATGACACGACTAACTGCGGCAATTGGCCTGCATTCCGCTCACAGCGCTATTATAAGCAGTGTATTTTATTGTTATACAATGCAGATTTTCCAAAAAAAATATCATAACCTCCAGCGTATGCCACCTTCAAACATGAACTTAACGCAGAAATGCTGCACCATAGCTGAAATTATATTGGAATAACTAATCAAAACTGTTTGTTTGCATTCTAAATATCAACTTCAGAAGAGCTTTTAGCGCTGAAATGTTGTAGGCCGTTACTATTCTAGCCGTACCTATTTCGTGTTCATTACGAAAATTGCACATAATTTTATAAATCAACCCAAAACTTCAATGGCGATGTCGGAAGTGAGCGGGCATGGTAATAATATTGCTCACGAGCAAAAAAAAAGCAGGGGCTCTCTTTTCAGTGTTCGCCATACAACCAAAATGCATGTAGGATGGCGGGTTACCACAAACGAAAAAATATCTATGATGTGGCTTCAATTACAATTGATTGTAATTGTTGTGCACTCTGTCTCTTAAAATAAATTTGTGTTTCGTTGTATCGAGTTATATAAAAAAACTGCGTAATTATAAAACTTTGCGGAGGTCATGCACGTTCATCAAATTAATGATACGTGGGGTTTAACGTCCCAAAATCACCATTTCTTTTTGAAAGACGTGGCAGAGGAGAGTTTCGGATATTTCGACCACCTAGGCTTCTTTAACGTGCACCGAAATCAGAACACACGGGTCTACAGCCTTTTCGCCTCCATCGAACATGACCGCTGCCACCGCTGGGATTCGATCCCGCAACCTGCCGGTCAGCAGCCGAGTACCTCATTCACTATACCATCATGGTGGGGTGGCGTTCATCAAATAAATAATTAAATTGTGGAATTCAACTTCCTGAAAAGTACATATGGTATGTAGTATAGTATGCGTAGGAGTGACCCGTGGCCTCGTGAGGTTTTTTTAACTCGTAACGAAAGCACCGTCGACTACAACTTTTCTCTTCCGCCCTCACTGAAATGCAATCGCTTAGAAGCGATACGTCATAGCCAATGAGCCACGAGGGTCTGTTTTGCAACCACAACAGTAGCTTAAAGTGCATTCATGTCATTCATGCACAACTTCAACAGTAAAGCATCAGTTGGAGCCCCGTGGTCTCTCAACGCAAAAAAAAAAAAACAGTTTGTAGATCGGTGGCAAAATACCTGCAAGTATATTTGTACATGCTTCATGTGAGAAGTTGACTACACTGAACATTTCAAAATACAACACAATTTATTGAGAAATTTCTTGATAATACTAAAGCTGAAAGCATTTCTGAACTATGGCGTGAGTGACTTAGAGCATGGCGCTATGATCTTATTGCAGGAATTTCTTCGAAACCATGTACTTCTACTACCTTTACCCCCACTACCATGCTGCGTGCTACTTCACTGGGCCCATAGCTTTCATTCTCTTGGAAGGCTTCCGGAAACGTAAAATATCAAAGGTGAGTGTGAAGAGCAACGGGATTACACAATAACTAGGTTTCTGACTCAAAGTTGGCAAATAAGCAAACAAGCAGCCACTTCATGCGCACATTTATTTCCAGTGTGAGACAAATGCAGGCAACCAAATGGCATACCTTTCAGGCCATAGCTCAAGTGCACGAAAAGGTTTCCGAAGGGACAATTGGTTTCATTGCGATTTCTGCTCTTGCGAGAAATTTGCTTGTAACGGCAAATTTTAAAAAAATCCAAAGGGTATGCAATACTGTAGAAAGATGAAGAAACTAACAAAAGTAGAGGAGACAAAATGTAACACCTTAAGTTAGCAGACCAAGGTGTATATATATATATATATATATATATATATATATATATATATATATGCGGAAACGTGGCCTGGCTCACAGTCAATGCTTTTCTACTTGACACGATTCCCCCAAAGGAGTGCCGAGCTGCAGACTATAAAACATGAACAAGTGGAGTCCCAAAATGAAAACAAAATCACGGAAATCACATTACAGCTTCGAATGATAGTTACATAAACTTGCACAAACGTTTCACGGGAGAGGGCAACAGTCCGGGGATATCAAGTGGAGCTGTGGTGGGCGAGGCTGGCTACTGTGTTCAGGCCAACAGAAGCACGGCTTGAAGGGAGAAATTACTGATGACACAGCAATTCTTGCGAGCAATGAAGAAGAGTGGAAGTCCTTGTACCATTTTAGGGTCGTATGTCGTAGGCACCGAGTTCTCCGTCGTAGACGCTGCTTTCTGGGTCATGGCTGAGACAGAACGAGTGCTTGCAGCCTGCTTGTGTGAAAACCGAAGCTGATAATACGATGCCTGTGTTCCTTCGTCGTACACGTGGTAGCTGCATGTCTCTTTCGTAGCTTTCTGTGGCCTTCTCTCAGTTTGTTGAATCGTAGACACGGCCTTGAGAACTGGTACAGAAAATTTTGTCGACGTTGCTTTCTGTTAAGATGGTTTAGGCATCCACTTTTTTCTTTGCTTCTTTAATTGGCGTTGTCTCCAATTAAGCCACAAGTGTACTCCTGATGAGGTTTCACTTGTTCACTGTTTTTGTTCGAGTAAGCGTTGTAGTGCCTAGAGTTCGTGTAGTTGCCTTTGTTGAAATTACTCATTTTGTTGTGAAAGTTGGCCAGATGGGTATCTTTCAGAAACTTGAGTCTAATTTTTTTTGCACGATGATGTGATCAATTGTTAGTCCGTAGTCGATACTCTACTGCTGGGCTTGTCTTGCGATGAAAGCAGCGTGACAAATTGATGAGAAAACTTCCAAGATGGTTGTTAGTCATCATTCATGGTAAATTTTTTTGTCAGTTAAAAATGAGCTGGTGTTGGTGGATTCGAAATTTCTGCAGTGCTTTCACTCGCATGTGTTATCACTTGACGATGAGAGCACAATAGACATGGCTTGAGGTGATTCTGATGGCGTATGTTTTTTTTTTTTGCAGCGTGTTGAGGCTGATAATGTCTGTCGAAAGAATCCGGTCTGGAACGTCCGGGTGTGGGCTGGTATTGTGAGGATTCACCAGCTCGTCACGCGTAACTACCGTCACACGTTCTAAACCACCTAGGCCTTGTTTGTGACACGAATCATCAAATGATTTGGGTGGTTCAGTAATATCTGAAATGTGATGCGGTGAACACGTTGAAAATGCCGATTTCCTTGCTCTTGGGAAAGCCGGCCTTACGGTCACTCTTTTGGCGAAATGGTCTAGAATTTTTTCGGTTACGGAGGCTTATCTTGTCTGTTGTGACGTGCAAGTTACCAGTCGGTGTTCGAATGCATTATTTTTTTTCGGAAGAGTCATATGATGGTATGCTGGTGGTATATTTTCTCTGAGGTCTTGTTTGGAAAATGGGCTTACTGCGGGAAGCCTTCGCGTAACTTTGATGGGTGAGTTGAAAAGCCTTCCGCTGATGCTGTGTGGACAGATCTTTATAGTATTCTTTAAAACGGGTGATCATTTCTTCATTGATCTTCTTCCAAGACTCATTGCTCTCGAATATTTCAGTGCGGTAAATTTTGAAAGCCTCACCAGAGACGTAGCCGGTGAAGTTGATGACCATCTCGCGTTCCGACCAGGATGCAGTGGCGGCGTGGAGCTCAAATAGGTTGAACCAGTCCTGTACGGGTCCGTCGTCCGCTGATCCTGTGTATATGGGGATGTCAAGGTCATCTGATGGAGCTGTCGTGATGCTGGCCATGCTGTAGAGTTGGGATGCACTTGTGTGGTCCACGTTCGGCCACTGCGTCCTGCTGAGGTGGTGTTGAATGACGATGGCCAGTTGATGAAGTGGCTGCCAAGTCTTCATGCTGTCGACTCTTGTGACGCTATAAATGGGAGACGTAGTGTGGCTCATACGCCATGTTAATTCCGAAGCACTTCTTCATCTTCTGCCTCTACTATCAGTCACTGCATATATATATATATATATATATATATATATATATATATATATATATATATATATATATATATATAAACTATTCCGCCAGGCATGCCCCATGGCCTATTGTTGTAGTGTGGAATTCAGGGCTACATTTTCCGGGTTTCCGGGTTTCCGGGTTACCGACTCCGCAAGCAAGACGAACGTCGTAGTTATGCTGATTTCGAACGGGACAAGATATATTGTCGGGTATACTACCGTTATGCCAAAAATGCTTCTATGCACCGATCTCCCTCTACGGTAGGCGTTTTCATCCCGACCACCGTTACACGCGGTTTCCGACCACACTCCCCATTGCCACTCGAACGCTCTGTTTCGCCTCTTTCATCTGTAGCCTTAGCCTGCCAAGCGATTGAAAATCTAAAGATAGCAGTTTTTAGAGGGATAACTGCATCGTCGCGAAATGATAGAAATCCTCCTGAATGAACGTCAAATATGTTATTAATGACTGTACCAGGTCAGCAGGTGTTGGCTTTGATAGACACGGGAGGACCTATTTCGGTTATGGGTGCAGACTTATGTTTTCGTTTACAAAAAATCAAGACGCTCTACGTTGGATTATCGCTAAATGGTTGCCTATAAAGCGATAATTCGACAATCAGCCAAATGTACAGCACGTGTCTCCATTGATGGTATTCGTCATCACATCACTTTTGTCGTTTTAGTTTCAGTGCTCACGAACTAATTATAGAAGGGTACTCTTTTTCTTCAGCGCCTGCTTTATTTCTTGCCACCAACGTGTAGTCCAGATGATCAACACTGATCACAGCAGTGAACGTGTCGACGAGAAACAACTACGCTTTTTGGCAGCCTCCAATATCGTACTGCCACCGTGTCAGGACGAATTAGTCACCATCAATTCGATGGTATATTGTCAATGGTGACGTGTTTATAACTCTTTACAGTCACTGTCTAGCTCATGGCGCTGCAATACCCTGCATCCTCATGTGGTTCAAAAATGGTGCTGCAGAAATTATCGGCATCAACCTCACTGTAGAAAATATTTGTTCGCCCCAAGGTTCTACGGTGCTGTGTTACGTGGACACTCAACCAGAACTCTGGTCCTTCTTGATGCCTTGTCAGCTCAGCTACAACAGGGTGCGTCTATTACTTCCTCTGCCTTTGCTGCTGGGATAGATCCTGACCTTCCTGCTTAGCATGCTGCGTTGCTCGAATGGCTTACAAAACACCAGCTTTCTTCGACACCATTGCTTCGGCACTGAGGCAGACCACAATTGCATCTGATTGTATTGACACTGATGGTCAGAGTGTTTTCATCCCTACCGAGTTTCCTGGCCCGAGCACAAAATGATCGAGGAGAACTTTCTCGATATGCTAAAAGGAAATATCATCCGACCCTCTGCCAGTTCTTGGTCATCACTTTGTTTTAATGCAAAAGAAGAATGGATTGGTGCAATTTTGTCTTCACTACAACGTGAACAACATAATCAGCAAAGATGTATACCCGATGCCCCGTATAGATGATGCACTTGACTTGTTGCAAGGCGCGCAATACTGCTCCGCCCTTCACCTTCGCTCTGGATACTGGCAAAATTCCGATGAACGAAGCCGACAAAAAAGGCCACCTTTTCCTCACTGGACAGTAACGAGTTCCCTGTAATGCCCTTCGACCTGTGGAATGCCACCATCACATTTGAAAGGATGACCGAAACTTTTCTTCGTGGCTTCAAGTGAAAAACGTGTGCTATTTGGACAATATCGTCGTGTTTTTCTTCACTTTCGCTGCCCATCTGCGACGTCTTGACAAAGTTGTTACATGCGCCTCGAAAACGCTGGAATTCAAATAAACACAAAGAAGTGTCACTTTGGTTACACAATTAGCAATGTTCTGGCACATCTTGCTAACAAAGACGGCGTCCGGCCTCATCCGGACAAAGTTTCCACAGTGCTCAATTTTCCAGGCCCCTTTTGTTCAAAAGAACTGCGCAGCTTTCTTGGACACGCATCGTACTTTGGCCGCTTTACCATCACTTAACTTTGTCATCATTGTCGCTCCTCTTCCCATGCTCCTTGCTAGTACCAGTGCTTTCAATTGGAATGATCAATTAAAAGCCGTATCTCAAGCGCTCACAGACATCCCCGCTGGTTTCTGTGATATTTTTATGACAAGGTACCTACATTGCTACACACTGATGCTAGCGGACAAGGAATCAGCGCCGTACATCTTCAGCACGACAGTAACTTTTGCGAGGAAGCTTTTTCGCGTGCAAGCTGCACTCTCACTTCTCCAGGAAAAAGGTACTCGATAACCGAACAAGAGTGCTTGGCTGTTGTCTGGTTCATCCGAAACTTCATCCCGTACCTGCATGGTCGACATTTTACTGTAATCACAGACTAATATGCTCTATGCTGGTTGTCGACAATCAAAAACTTGTCGAAGCGCCTTGGCCTCTGGATTCTCCGACTACAAGCATATGACTGACGTCATTTACAAGACCGGAAGATAGCACCAACACGCCGGCGCTCCATAGCGATGCTTTTTGCCACCATCAACGGAGCACCTGACGTC